GCACACACACTACACACACACACACAAAAAAAAAAAAAAAAAAAAAATGCCTTCAGCAAAGAGGAAGTGCACCAGCTAGGCCTAAAAAACCCTAAAACTGCCCTCACAGCCCAAGAGCCTGTAGTAGCCATTTGCAGAGAGAAATTGATTCCACTGGGCTCTATGAAGCTCCCATAAGTCAGTCCATGAGATGATCCTGAGGATTACAGGGTTGGACTCCACGTGAATTTTGACTTTTAAGAAAATTTGCAGTCCTACTTGGTGGCCAGGACTAGCCTGGCTGCCCTGAAGTGACTGGCAACCGCCCTCTCCCTACCAGGCAGGAAGAGTGCCTGGAGGACAGGTTGGTGTGCAACCTCAGAGCCAAGACAAAAGGCTGACTAAAGTGCTTATTAACATGTCAAAGCGAATGTTGATGGCCTCTCAGCTCCCTTGGTACCTGGCACACACACATACATGCACCCCACACTCCCACTCCCACTCCCCATACACCCCTTTCCTGAACTCTCCAGCCCAGGTCCTTTCCCCTGCTCCACTGACCTCCATATAACTCAGCCACCACCAGTCTCTTGACTAGTGCCATCACACTCAGCTCCGTCTTGTACATAACTTTCTTTAGCATAAAATAAATGAAACATTGACTAGGAAAGTTAGGCAATTGTCAGGATGTTTTTATTTTGAAAATGAAGGCTTTAAGAAAGGAAGCATGCTTGCAGGGAGCAGTACCACAAAGGGCCTGATATTCTCTAAGGCTCCCTAGTGCCAAAGACTGAAGGACAGCAGCCAGGACTGACAGATAGCCATGAGCAATGAATCCCCTCCAGCAGGCCACACAAAACCGGAATTCTTCACCAGTTGGGGGCATCAGGCCTATCTCAATGGCCAAAGGATCAGTGACATGCACAGCATCCAGGCAACAACAACCAGAGACCTTGTCCATTTGAGTGGGAACGTCTTGGGGCCTCACTCTTGGCTGTACCTAAGCCTTCACCATTCACCAAGCTGGGTGGCTGGACACGCCACAGGGCTGAAGCACAGGTCTGGGAATGAACATAAAAAGGGTAACATCTGTTAAAGAGTAGGTTTGAACAGAACAGCATCAAACTCTGGGAAGACCCAGATTCAGATTTGGAGCCTGACCCGCCTAGTGGGGAATTAGAAAAATGATCAGTGACATGCACAGCATCCAGACAACAACAACCAGAGACCTTGTCCATCTGAGTGAGAACGTCTTGGGGCCTCACTCTTGGCTGTACCTAAGCCTTCACCATTCACCAAGCTGGGTGGCTGGACACGCCACAGGGCTGAAGCACAGGTCTGGGAATGAACTTAAAAAGGGTAACATCTGTTAAAGAGTTGGTTTGAACAGAACAGCATCAAACTCTGGGAAGACCCTTTTATGAAAAGCTAAGCTTTTATGAAAATGACCCCCTTTTGTTCAAAGTTTGGGCTTTTACAGATTGGTTGGAATCCTTGATAAAAAGAAATTATATTTTATGAAAAAAAGTAGTTTTTTTTACAGGATAGACTTTTATGAAACAACATTTCTTCATAATGAAGTTTCAGGAGCACTGAATGATAGGGTGGCCTCTCCATGAGAAGGACTGAGAGCTCATGAAAGGGTTAGACATTTCATTTAGATCTATGTGGCAGAGAAAAGCATGGAGAGTTTGGGGAAATTTTTCTAACTTTTTTTAAATTATTTTTTATTTTATTTTTTTTTCTTCCAAGTATATGGCTGTTTTGCACTCATGTGCACATGCATACACATACACATTCATATAGTACATATGCTATCATATATCAGTGTATGTACACCACTCCTGTGCCTGGTGCTTACTGAGGCCAGTAGAAGGGTGTTGGATCCCCTTGGAACTAGAGCTAGAGACAGCTGAGAGCCATAATGTGGGTGCTGGGAGTTGAATCAGGGTCCTCCTGAGGAGCAACTGTGGGAAGCTGTCTTTTCCAGGCTGTAGTCAGAGCCAGCCGACTTGCCCAAGGTTGGTACATGAGACGGAGAGTGTGGATAACGAAAAGGCTAGCTAGTTCAAGGAAAAAAATGGAGACAAAGAGTAAAATCAGGAGGGCAATTCAGTCATTACTGAATGCTATGAGTTTATTTTTCACCACTCTTAAATAACTCTTAAATAAAAGAGGAACATGGAATGAAGTATAAGGAGCAAGCAGACTTCTCTTCCCCAAATCTCCAAGGATTTGGTAACCACACCTTATATGCTATTTCTGGCCTTGATGGTTTAGAATAAAACACACCTCAGAACTAGTCTGTTGTTATTTAGATAAGACACCCAAGGCCAAGATCAACCATCCTACTGTAGCCACACCTTTGGCCTTTGTGTCTTATGACTTACAAAGGGCAGTTTTGAACTCTCTGGCCTTTAATCAGCAGTGGAGTCATCTTTATGGACCCCGACAATCAGCAAACCCTCCTAACCTCTCTTCAGTCTCCCCTTCTCATAATGCTCTTTTATTTATTTCATTTATTTATTTTATTTTGGGTTACCTGTTTAGCTTCATATAGGAGCAGAGACAGGATGAGACATCAGTCATTGTCTTCAATCCATCGGGTCATGAATTTCAGAACAGTATGGCCACACTGATGAGAACTCATGGCTTTGCCCAGGGCCAATCCCCTGCCTCCTTCATTGGCATGTTGTCTAAGTGACTGAGATGAGCCTGTGAGTCTGCTGGAAACTGGAACTTTCCCCTTAAAGCTCAGGTTACACTAGCAGTTGAAAGGACTTCTGGCTGATTTTCAGTCATAGTTTACATGATGAAATGAAATGTGATGATGAGATCATTTGAAACAGGGAAATAAACTGACATAGTGTCTCACAGTTACAACATGAAAGCAAGGAGATAAAGAAGTGGAATAATCAAATGAAGCATATAATACAATCCACTATGTTGGGATTAAGCAAAAGGAAATTGCCCTAAGTACTGCCATCTTGTTTCCAGACTCCATTTAAGTGGGAGGTAAAACAACATTCAAAGTCACAGACCCCAGGGGAGGTGGACCTTTCCAGACTCTGGGGAGTGGGACTTTCCACTAGGGGTGAACTTCCTCCTAGGTACTAAAACCAGCCTGTTATTCAACTTTAGTTCCCCAAGACATTCTTTCTGTTTCTATCCACAAAGAACAAATATATCTGTTTAGTTATATTGCCAAACTAGTATCTTGTGTGGGTTGGCACATACGTTTGTGCTTTTCCTGCTCCTGAGTAAGCATTCTGACCTTCAGTCAGCTCCCGAGTCTGTACTATGGTCCCTGACTGGTCACCCTCACTACCAATTCAATAAAAACCTTACTTTAAGTGAACTCTTGTGTGTCTGCATTGTTTTAGATCTCCTCAGAACCTACAACTATAATGAAAGATGATGAAATGAATTCATTAGAAAAATCCAAATGTGTTAATAAAACAAAATAAAAATTTAAATACCATGAGGATTTTATCACCTAAAATATGATAATGAAATTCTCTGACTTAAGGAAACAAAGTAAAATGGTGTTAAAATTTATAAGATAAAATGTAATGAGATAAAGAGAACAATAAACAAAATAAAATGTAATGCAATGAAATCAAGTATAATGAAATATAATACTGAAATGAAACAATAACTGAAGGAACCAGCTTCCCTTTCGGAAGCCATAACCGTCGAACATGTGCTTCTATGACCTTGTCCTAGAAACTAGAAAGTCAGATTCCTGTCTCGTGACAAGGAACCAATCAGAAGTTAGCTGGTAGCGCTATGCTTTATGTCCCTGGGTGTGCTTTTCGGACAAGCACACAAAAATGACATAGAGAGCATAGCAACCACCCTGGGAGGGCCTATGGGCCATAACAACCAGTTGGCCAATCAACACAGGGCAAGCCCTCCAAGACTGGAGGCACACCAATCATAAGCCTGTGGGTACCCCTAGACACTCCCCTTACGCTGCCCTGTAAGATCTTTCGGGAGACACTAGGAGCCCTCTTTTCTAGCTATCTGCCATGGCGGGTGGGTGAAAGACCTGAGGTAACATGGGGTTTGTTCGTTAAATTACAATAAAGCCTCGTGCAATTTGCATCAAGCTCTCGAATCTTCCTGGTGATTGGGGTGACTGCGAACGTGGCCTGGGACCCCGGATACTTTAGTTTTCCAGGGTCTAACATAACAAGAACCTAAACAAAATATTGATCAAATGAGAAAATGAAACGAAATAAAATCTGAAATTAGATAACTTTTTACAATGTTGAAACCAAAGGAAAACAATATAGATAGAAATATAAATAAGTCCAACAAAACAAAATGCAATAAAATGGTAGATTGAAATGACTTGGAAAAAAGAAGTTCAGATAAATTTTAAAAATTTACTTTAAAATGATGTATTTTTAAATATTATGTAATTATAAATGAAATGTATAAGGATTATGTAAATATAAGGACGTAATGAAATGTAAAGCATTGAATTGATGTTATGATGATTAAAAGAAACAAGGAAAGAGATGGAACTAATAAATGCAATGCAAGGAGTTGAAATTAAATACCATGAAATGACAGGATGTAATGCAATCCTAATTAGTCTTATTAATAAAAAGCCCAGTATCAGATATTAGGGGGTAAAAAATGAAAGATCAGGGAAGCAGCGCAGCCAACCACTAGAGTTCCTAACTCTACAAATGCTTAAACCGAATAGGTAAGATCCTGTCTACAGAAATCGTCAGAGTTAATGCTCTGAGCTCCAGTCTCCTCTGGCTTTATATTCCTCCACCATCCAGCCATATCACTCCTATCTCTAACTCCCTAGTGCTGGGATCAAAGCCTTGTGATCACAAGTACTGGGATTAAAGGTGTGAGTACAGTCTTTTTTAGACTGATTCAGTCTCTCTTAGGCCAGGATGGCATTGAACTCGGAGATCCATCTGCCTCTGTATCCTGAGTGCTGGGATAAAAGATGTGTGCCACCACTGCTTGGCTTCTACTGTCTACTAGTGTGCCTACCGATGGACTCTGATCTTCAGGCAAGCTTTCTTTGTTAGATCATAAATAAAATATCACACCAGGAAATGTCATATAATCCAATACAAGGAGCTGTAATTAAATGAGATGAAAAGATATAAACTGAAATGAAGTGGTGATACTAACAGAAACAATATACTGAAGTAAATATATATGCCAGGAGACAATGAAAATGAGTGATAAAACATGCTGTCATGACGTATTGAATGACATGAAACACAGTGAAACTTATACTGAAACAATAAATGAAATAAAATTTTTCTGGTATGGCAGGAAAGCTCAAGTATTCAAACACAATGAAATGTATCAAATGACATGAAAAGAAAGCATGAACTTAAATGGTTTTTAAAAGTGAAAAAATATTCTGAAATGAACTGATATAACATGAAATGATGAAAATAGAGATAAAATGTGTATTATATAATTATTGAAATAAATATGGCAAAATGTGATCATAAAATTTGATGATGAATAAAATGAAATGAACTGGTGGTATAAAATTATGGATGGAATCCAAAGCAGTATAGATGACAAGAAATGAAATTAAATAGGATAGAAGAGTAAAAGATAATTAAATCAGATTATTCCAGAGTAAATAGGAAAATACCGAAATGAAACAACAAAAAGAGGCTAAACAAAAGAACAAATAGAGATAATTAAATGAAATATACAATGCCTTATAAAATACTGAAAAAATGAAAATAAAATGTAGAGAATAATTTAACATAACATATTGGATAGAATTATAATAAAATGAAATCGACACAATGAAACAAAATGTTGGAAAAAAGGTAAAAATAAATTAAACTTAAGGAATTCTATTTTGAATATAATGTAATGAAATTAAATGAATGGAACTAATATGATGACTGACATGGGATAAAAGTAAATGTGTTGAGATGATACAAATACATATAAAATATCATGTAGTCAAATACAATGTTACATAATTTGAGTAGATGAAAGAAAAAATAAGGAGACGATATGAAGTGCAATAGTATACTGGAATGAATCCAGAGGACAAGAAATAATTAAATGAAGTAGAAAAGTGACGATAGGATGAAATGAGTAAAATAAAATGAAAATAAAAT